CAAACCGCATATCCTCTGTCTGTCTTATTCATCTTTGAGTGTGTGTATATGGGGTTTTAAATGGGTATACGTTAAGTCTCGTAGTAATAGATTATTAATTATTTCCCTTCTCTGCCATTTGATAAGAAATAAGTACGTTTAAAATAAAGAGTTATTTGCAATTAACTATGAAACCGGATGTGAATGACTTTTATCCTGAATAGTATTCAGTCAGGCAAATTAAGCATCAAGGTGTTATTGATATTTGCATGTTGTGACAACTTGTGGAACTTTGGGGTCATGTATCAGCTCACATTAGTTCACTCTTCCCATTAATTTGGGAAGAGAGGATATTAAAAGTAATCATGTGGCACTACTTGAAGTCTTTGCAAATATGTTTTCCTCATCCATCACAAAAATCATACCTGTGTGCGAACGGCCTGTTTCCCTGCATTATAATGGGAATACACTTCATAAATATGTAATTGGATGTCCTGAGACATAAACAGTGCTGTATAAATGTGTCTTTTTCTTTTGCATTCATTCAGTTACACCTGCAGCTTGTGGTTGGGCAGTGCACTATTATAAGGATATTGAAACCATTAAAAAAAAGACAGCAAAGATGAGTCAGAATTTTAAAATGATGCTCTTATTTTTCCCTTTTTAAATGGAGGTATTTTGGGGCACCTGATAGAATTTTACAAATTTATTTAAAGTGAGGTAAAAGGTTAAATAGTTTATGAAGCAAAAAGAGTATTATATGGATCTATTGATGACATGGATGGTTTAAGATAGGGCTTGATTGATTTTTTTTCAATTCTGTGTTAGGCCACTAAAGATATTGGTGTACAATTCATTTGCTGTAGTCAGCAGCTTCAATCCTTTTTTGGTTGAAATACATTAGAATTCATCAGCTATTCACTTTATCATTGACTATGTATTTTTATGCCTTGATCTACACAACTATTTTTCTATGAAACTTCTGTGTCATTGGCAATCTCTGTCCCTCAACTGTACTAATTCATTGATATGAATAATGTTTAGTTGAAGCCCACAGATTTTTGTGAATCACCACTAGACAGAACCTTCTAATTTGAGTACTTGTCCATTATCCCCTCTGTCTACATCGGTCAATCACTTTCCTTAATCCCATTAGTTTTAATTTTAGCTAACAGTCTCTTGCATGGAAACTCGCCTTTTGGAAATCTATAAAAACTATATGTATAGGCATTCCACTAGTTGCTACTTAGTAGCTTTGTCATAAATTTGTGTGATTAAAATCCATGATTCTCTTTACAATTAGCTCAAAGTTCTCTTTTAAGTGCACAATTACATTGCCCTAAATTATACATTCTAATAACTTCCCCACCACACATTTTAGTCTAGCAGATCTATAAAATCCTGGATTTTCTCTCCTTAATACTACAAGGTGCTGTGTGAATGAGATGGATTTAGTTCTGTCAAAAGTAGGTCTAGTTTTTAATTTGAAAGTATGAGTTCCTATTTCACAGATGCACTGTTTGTTTTAAAAAAAACATGAATTTCAGAATATCAAGCACATTTATGACCTTATAATATGTGAAACTAAATCCTTGTCATTCCTAATCTATTCAGTTAATACAATAGGTCCACGAATACACAAACTAGTCCTTTAATCATCTTATAAACGTTGATCAAATCATGTCATCATGTAGTCTTCTTTAAAATAGAGACTCAGTTCTATCTAAAGAATGTAGATCCTTGAAACTGGAAATTGCTATAGTTTCTTCTTTCTGCACCCTTATCTAAGCCTCAATGTTACCCTGCATATGAGGAGACCTGAAGTGAACACAATACTCCAGGGCCTAACCAAGGTCTTATACAAGGATAAAATGTTGTTCTTTATAGTGTTGAAAATATTCGTGAATACCCTATTCATTTTAGCTATAGCTTCATGGTTCATTATGTCATTTAGAGATTGATGTACTAAAATGCCTTAATAGGCTTAGTTTCTCCTGTGCTGCATTTTTACAGTTGTGTTGTGAAATTTGAAGGATTGATTGTGTTGTAGCATTGCCATCAATGTGAAATCAGTGGAAACAAGGAAAAATAGCTCAAAAGGCTAATTAAAATAGAATAGGAAAAAGTAACCAACTTTGTCCTGACAATGTAGGAAACACAGTTTAGATCTGAAATACTTTGGAATAAGTTACTGGCATATGAACTTGAGTCACTTCGTATAGTGAAGGAGTAAGGAGTAATTTTGTGTAGTTGTCTTGGGATGACTAATGCAGATTTGATTCCTCACACAGTCAATCTAAGTCTGATAAGGGAAAATGAAAAGCAGCTGTTTAAAGCTGTTGCCGTGCAACTTCGAGCAACTACCTGAGTTTTCCAAGAGTCGTTACTGATATCCAAATTGGGTTCTGCCAGGGCCGCACAGTTGCTGACTTCATTGCAGCCTTGGTTCAAATGAAAACAAAAGAGCTGAATTCCACACGGGAGGGGGGGGGAGTGAAAGCACCTGACCTCAAGGATGCATCTGGTTGTAGTATGTGTGAGTCAGTGGAAATCAAGGGAAATCTCTCTGCAAGTTGGAGTTGTACCCAGCACATTGAAAGATGGTAGTGATGGTTGGAGGGCAGTCATCTCAGCTCCTGGACATCTCTGCAAGAGTTCTTCTAGGAAGTGTCCCAGGGCTAAATATCTTCAGCTACTTTATCAATGACCTTTCCTCCATCATAAGGTCAGAAGTGGAGAAGTTCAGACCATTTGCAACTTCTCAGATACTAAGCAATCCATATATGACTTCAACTCTATATTCCATAACCTAGACCTATCCAGATACATACCCAATACCTAGAGAATGTTACATAAGTGTCAGGCAATAGCCATCTCCGACAAGAAAGAATTTAACCACTAACATTCAAAAGTCTTACCATCTCTAAATCCCCCACAATGTCTTGAGAGTTACCATTGACCAGAAACTGAACTGGACTAAGCATATAAACAGTGTCCACAGGAACAGGTCAGAGGCTTGGAATCCTATTGTGAGTGACTCATCTCCTGACTCCCCAAAGCCTGTTCACCACCTACAAAGCACAAGTTAGGAGTGTGATGGAATATTCCCTTCTTGCCTGGATGTGTTCAGCTCCAATACAACTCAAGAAGCTTCACTAAGCAATTCACTTGATTGGCACCACATCCATGAACATTCATTCCTTCCAACACTGATGCACAGTAGCAGCAGTATATACCATTTACAAGATGTACTAAAGCCCTGTGGATGTCCTTACACCAAATGGAATGCAAAGTTTCATGATGACACCCTCTCAAGGAGACGGGTATGGGCAATAAATGCTAATCAAGCAAGAAACCATAAATAAAAATGAGCATTGCTGAAAAAATATAATTTTGTTAAAAGTTTTTCAACTTGCACTCCTCAGGACATTTGCAAAGATACACACTCAAAACAAAAGCCAACATTTATACTTCATGAGAGGACATGTTGCAGCTGTACAGGACATTGGTTAGGCCACTTTCGGAATATCGCGTTCAATTCTGGTTTACCTGCTATAAAAAGCATGTTGTGAAACTTGGAAGGGTTCAGAAAAGATTTACAAAGATGTTGCCAGGGTTTTAGGGAGAGGCTGAATAGGCTGGGGCTATTTTCCCTAGAGTGTCGGAGCCTTAGGGGTGACTTTTACAGAGGTTTATAAAATCATGAGGTTCATGGATAGGATGAATAGCCAAGGTCTTTTCCCTGGGATGGGGGAATCCAGAACTAGACATCATAGGTTTAAGGTGAGAGGGGAAAGATTTAAATGGCCAAGGGGCAACTCTTTCATACAGAGGGAGGTGCGTGTATGGAATGAGCTGCCAGAGGACGCGGTGGAGGCTGGCACAATTACGACATTTAAAAGGCATCTGATGGGTGCATGAATAGAAAGGATTTTGAGGGATATGGGCCAAATGCTGGCAAACGCGACTAGATTAATTTAGGCTATCTGGTCGGCATGGACGAGTTGGACCGAAGGGTCTGTTTCCATGTTGTAGAGCTGTATGACTCTGACAGAACTGATTGATTGACAAGTTAATTCTGAATGGCGGAGTTGTCATGGAAAATGAGAGGCATGGTCTACTCCAATGCAGTATAAATGTTTCCCCTTGAACCACTGCAGTTGCAAAATGTCTTGATGAATGTCAGGTGAAAAGTCCTGACAAACTGTCAGCAATGCTCATGAAAGCATGTGCTGCAAAATGACTACAAGCAAAGATAATCAGCAAACCCAACCGTTATACGGTATTTGCAACAACATTTGCAGACTTTGCATGATGAATACATGGGGGGTGATTGACTCTGCAGGAACACCTTCTAGTGGAGTTTACAATCCTTGGAGGAGCTAAAGATGGATACTCAGGAGAGTCTTCAGTAGTGATGCGGTGATAACAGAATAGGAAACATTGCTAGAGTTCCTCTATGACCGTCCGGTTATATGTCAAAGTAGTGAGAAAAGTCCAACTGAGGTGGTTGATGGAAAAGCGAGTAAGCAAGAAGACCTCTTGAGCCTGCATCGCCATTCACCGAGATCGTGGCTGATCTTCAACCTGATTTCCACCATAATCTCATCCCTTGATTTCCTTATTGGTGTGTAAAGTCCACCTAACCTCTGTTCTGAATAAAGCTAGCACATGAAATATTACTTTACAATTGGAATCGGTGGGGAATCTGCTGGTGTGTCTAATTAAAGCCGGAATGGCGGAGTCAATTCTACCTTGTAATAGGCACAGACATGTTATGAACCACCTCGGCGACCCACAAGCAGGGACGCTACCAACTCTGCTTTACACGATCCTTTTGCTCCTATGATGCTGCTTGGCCTGATGTGTTCATCCAGTTCTGCACCTTCGTTGTCTCGGATTCTCCAGCAGCTGCAGTTCCTACTACCCCTTTAAAACCTTCCGCGCGATCCGGGCTGATTGTCAAATGATTGACAGGTTCTATTTGCGTTAGCCCCGCCCCGCGCGCCTAGAGCGCATGTGCATTGTTGCCGTCTTTGTCCTTTCACTATTAACTCCGGGTGGTTGGCAAAGTGCTGGAGCCTCAACGAATCAACATTAAAATAAGGAATCTGTTAGTGGGGATGGGAAGTTGGCCCGCTCTGTGAGTGCAGGTTTTATTTAAACTTGGCGAGTGACGGATACAAGGTAAGTGGCAGGTTTTAATGGTAGCGACGGGGTAGGGCTGGCCTGGTCTGGCTTGGCCTGGCCTGTCCGGGTTGAAGCGGATGCCGAGAAGCGACATTATTCCCGGGCGGGAGAGGGGGTGGGTCCTGGCCCAACGTTTAAAATCTTCCCGCCGCTACCCGGGCGCTGCACGGACGGTCCGGCCGACTTCTTGTCTAACGCGCTTTTACTTTCCCTGGGACTGTTTTATAACACTTGACCTCGATGTTCCTGATTCAGAAACTACTACAACGACAGTCTCCACTCTGCAGGATATATTGAATGTCGTGTTATTGCAGCAAGCTGTTATTAAGACGACTTTGCAATCTCCGTAGCTTTCGCACCAAGGAATTTATTTTACGTAAACTTAAATTTGGAGTATATGACTAGTTATGGGACATAATGCTGTACTACTGAAAATGAACAAATCTGTGCAGAATTCTTCGATCGTTCGATATTTGGTGTGGAATTTAAGATGATGGAACATTTGTTGGATCATCTGTATTCTGAATTAAAGCATACAAAGCCAAATCTTGTACACGAAAAGTTATTTCCTAATACAGTAAAAATGGTGTTGGAGCTTAGTGTCAAGATTTTAACACTATTAACGCCAGTGCCAACACCACAGTTTCAAACCGAGACAAACAATTGAAGCTCAAGCGATAAATCAAATTGCTGTTTTTTTTCAAACACATGTAAACAAATCTGAAAAAATGGATCCATAATAGTCAAAACGGAAATCGTGTCTCCTGCCTAACTTGAATGCCAAATGAATTAATTATCTTTCACCAATTAGAAAACAAAACCCCACAGTAATCTATAAATCTGTACAGTATTTAATAAATTGAAGTAACATACAAGGAGTTATTCATTATGATTTAATCACAATTGTACTTGTTTGGAAAAACAAACGTCAAACAGTTGGCTGAATGCAAAATGCAGTTAGCTACACAATAGACCATAAAACATTGGAGCAGAAGAAGCAGGCCATTCAATGAAATCATGGTTGATCTGATAAACCTCAACTCCACTTTCCTACCTTTTCCCATAATCCCTGATTCCCTTATTCTTAATGAACCAGCCTCTGCAACCTTCTGTAGTAAAGTATTTCACAAATTAGATGTATGCAGCTTGCCAAAAATTGCTCTTGGGAACATGCACACCATGAGCATCAAGATGTTTTCACAATCTTACTCTAAAATAGTGAATCAGAGAAAGTGGCTAAAACCTGTCTGAAGTTTGAAGCCTTTAAAACCTACGCAAACCTCATCATGAACACTGGTTGTCAAATAGTTTTGGTTGTACAGCCTCTTTGTAAATAGACTAGTAATCATGGACTTCTTGTAATTTATAACATTCAATAGTTTACAGAATTGGAGTGCTATGTTAGTGTGGATTCCAGATGGACAGAAAACAGTAGAATTAAACCAAAAACTGGATGTTGACAGATTAAATGGTATAAGGATCAGTACTTGCTCGCTCTCGGCTATTTACAATCAACATTACTTACGTGAGGAGACAGAGGTAAATGAATCCAAATTTGCTGATGACAGCAAAAATAGGGGAAATTGAGTGATGAGGAGGACACAAAAAGACATGTTATAAAGAAGTTGGATGAACATGTCAGCTGAAATAAAATGTGGCAAGATGTGAAATTAACCACTTTGCTAGGGAAATAAAGTGGAATATTCTCTGCATGGTGAGAAACTGGGAAATATTTGCATTCTGAGAGTCTTGCTGTAAATGAATCATAAAATTAACATGCAAGGACTGAAGCAATGAGGGAGGCAAGTGATATGTTAACTTTTGTTATAAGGAGATTGGTTTCTAAGAATAAATAGTGTTGCTGCAATTTTAGAGTGCATTGTTTAGGTCATACTGGAATACCATGCAGATTTAATCACAATAGTACTTGTAGGCATTTTTAGAGTTTGTTATCAAATTGGTTCCTGGGATACAGGATATTTTATGAGGAGAGTTTGAATGGACTGAGCATGTTTTCCCTGAAGTTTTGAAAAATGGACATGATCTAATTGAACTATAGAATTCTTAAAGGACTTGGCAGGGTAGATGCAGGGGAAAATTTTCTCCTGGCTGCAGAATCAGATCACGGGATCACAGTCTCAATAAATTATCACTCATTTAGAACTGACGTGAGAAGGTTTTTCACAGAAAGGATTGTGACTGTTTGGAATTCTCAGAAGTCTCTGGGTGCTCGGTTATGAAGTACATTCAAAGCTGTGGTTGGCTTTTAGATACTAAGAAAATTGAGGGATTCAGGAACAATGTGGGAAGATGGAGTTGAGGTTGAAGATCAGCATGACTTTCCTGAATGACAAATCAGGCCCAAAGGGCCAAATGGTTTTTTACTTTCCCCAGTTCTTAATCTCAAATATTGATACAAATTTGAGGATTCTTTCACAGATTTAGATAGTGACAAACAAATCAAAGATAAATGATAAGTTAACACTATATTAAAATTACAGTACGTATCAACTTAATTGTTTTTGATGTGTTTAAAGATTATCTGGGAATGTTATCCAAACACAGCCAAATAATCAGCATTTTTGTTCATATTCATCGCTTATTTTTATTTGTTTTCATGGAAAAGTTATCTTTTTAACTTGCTTAAATCTTCCTCTAAGTTGTAGTAATTTATATTCCTTAAATTATCAAAAAAATACACAGGAACTGGGTTGGATTTGCACAAGTCTGTAAAATATTCCTGGTAGTGTTGCATTCAAATGAGTACTCTTAATGGAACTGAAGAGAAGACAACTTTAATTTTGAAAAGTTATTTTATAAGAAAAAATCTGCTTTGAGCTTGTTAAATATCTAAATATGTTATTGCTGTTAATACTAATTTGGCCAATACCAGGTTGTGATCTGTAAACTGCCTATGTGAGTCTTAAACTAATTACTGTGAACTTATGCAATTTGGGTGGCTTTTTTTTCTTTTTTATTCCTCCCCTTGTGTTTTTCTCTCCCACCTGCTAGAGAGATTATTTTGCAGACTTCTGCAATAGCAGCTATTTAAAGAAGAAAGTGTCCAAGCGCAAAATCATGAGCAAAGCATGAAATAGCATCTCACACATTGAATCTGCTACAGTTAGCATGACCTAATCAGTTTTGTTCTTTGTTTTTTCCAGTGCCCATCAGCCCACTTTGGTAACCTCTTCAAAATGCCAGCTGCAGAAGAAGATCATAGTCAGATAATCCGTGAGGTGTGGGCAAATAACCTGGAAGAAGAGATGAGAAAAATTCGCTTAATTATTCAAAAATATAACTATATAGCTATGGTAAGTCTTCATGAACCACGTGAAAGAGTATTTGAATTATAAATATCTAATATTCTACTTCTCTAAGTGGAGAAACCTAGGGAATGAACTGAAGTAAGTTTTGCCATGTATGTATCTTAATATTATACATTTATATGACAGCATTCACTAAGCATAAATTTTAGTGAGATGGAGTAGAAAATTAGGGCTCTAGTTTACATTAAAGTAATGAATGGGCTCTGTACAATTGAGAATAGTTTAGAAAATATAGACAAAAAGGTTAGTTAGGCTTCTTAGAAAGCTTAATTCCTAGCTTTGACTATCACGCTGTAACTCTTGGAAAGGCAAGCACAGATGGGAAAGTCAATTGGGAAAGCACGAATTTAAAAGGTTTGAAGTCTTAAACTTTATTGGTAAGGATGAGGGGTTTTCACTTCAAAAGAAAAATTGTTATACAGACAGTTTCATATAATGAAGAAGGAGAATTAACTTTAATTTATGTAGCATGTTTATGACCTCAATTCCAAAGTGGCTTCACAGCTAATGATGTACTATTACTGTTTGGTATTGTGGGAAAACATGGTATGAGCATAATGACTTGCTGCCATTCGCCTGCCTTTTCTGTTTCAATCAAGTTGGTTGAGGAATTAATGTTAGTGAGGACAGTGGGGAAAAATTCCTACACTTTCAATATTGCCACACCAGCATGTCACTGGAGTGAATGTAAAACAAAAACCTTTCGTCCAATGAATGAGTGATACAGTTTTTGATGTTTTCCAAGAAAACTGGTGAAAAGGCACATGTTTGCATTTGCTAGAAAAGCTGAATAAAGCCAAAGATGCAAGACTGCAATGGCTTTTTAATTCTTAATTTTGGACAAAAAGCACAGTTGAGAAAAGTAGCAAGAAATGCCTTTGTTGGTTACTTAAAATAACTTGTATTTATGCAGCTTCTTTAATGCTGCAGATTATCCCAAGCCTCTCAAAGGTATTATGTAACACAGATACAGTAGCACAGCTGCCAGTAAGAGAATAATTAAAATCTGAAAACCTCAAAAGGCCAGGATTTAAGAAGCATAGATATCTCAAGGTTGTGGAGCTGCAGAGATTACAGGAATAGGGAAGGGTAAGGCTATGGAGGAATGTGAAAACAACAAGAATTTTAAACCTGAAGTATTGCTGGACTAGAAGCTCTTGTTGTTATCAGTGAGTACAGGGGTAAATTTTGAATAGTGCTTTAATGTGAATTAACATACAAGTAACAGCAGGTGGCATGCCTCAGTGCTAGAATGTATGTCACAGTTTTTCATAGTTTAGCATGTACCAAAACATACAGAATTCCTTAAACCTGTTTGTCATGATTCCTGTGCCGAGGGAATGGAGAATTTTTCAGTCTACAGATTAAATAATGCAAGACAATTTTTCCCCCCAAGTAAGGTGAAAAGTGTACGCTTTGTTTTTATATTGGAATGCCACATACTTTTCTGCTGCTGCTACTCTGTAGTTGGCAATGCCTGATTTGGAACTCGGGCACTTTAGGAAAAAAAACAAATTTCTGTCTATTCTTGGACGTTAGTTTCACCTGATAGCCACTATTTCATTTCATTTACTTTGAGCTTCTTAAAGGAATTTTTTCTTCCTACAAATTATTCTGTGGAACTGGCTTAACTTTTCCTATACTTTTAATAGTGACAACAAATGTTGGATAACCTACAAGACCTGGCCTTCAGAAACCAAGTAATTAATCATTAAACTTGGAGTATCGTTTGGAGGTTTGAAAATACAGATCAGGTTTTCTGAACTCAACTAACCATGGAATGTGGAACGACCATTTGATACACCAAACATCTTGTTTTTGTGCCATTTTAAATTCGTTAAGTAAAGATTTGCCCCAATGGCACCTGTTCCCAAAAACAAATATGCTATTTTAGAAAATATTTGCTTTTGCATCATTACTATTCAACCCACCCATATTAATTTCATCTGTGAGCCCAACAGCGTAGAAACTATGGCAAAAACAAAATAAAGTATATGTTATAGGTCTAAAATAAAACAAGAAAATGTTGGAAAACATTCAGGTCAGGCAGTATCTTGGTTTAGGGCAATGAATTTTAATCAGAGCTGTAGAATGATGACCTGAAGTATTAACTCCATTTCCTTTCCACAGATTCTGCCGAACCTGAGTAGTTTCCGATATTTTCAAAACTGCATAGAAATTGATGAACTCTTAGAATAATTATGATCACTGTCTACATTATTGTAGACCATTTTTTGTCGTAATTAACTGGTAAAGCTTTCATTTCTTTCACTGTAAGAATGGACTATACATTGACCATGTTGTTGGGTTGGAAACGCGAGGAGGTAATTCCAACTGCCCTTGTAATAGTTTCATTTCAAATCTGACTCATTTACACTATGCCAATATTTTTCAATTCAAATTCAGAGCTGCCTATAAGTTTTATTGGTATCTGGATTCTTCATTTCATCAACATCGACTTCATCTCTTCTATAATAAAATCAAATATGGTTCCGCTTTCTGCACTTCCAACTTGGTCTCTCTCTCTATCTTCCTTGTTGTTCATCACTGAACCCTGATCAGTGCATCCATGATGTTTTGAAAGTATCTAAGTATCTAAATTAGCAAACAGGATTACAAATACTGTTGTTCCTGTCTCTTCTCCAACTACTTCATATGTTTTCTTTTTCCACATTTTTATTATAATTCTTGTCGTTTAACCTGCATACTTGGCATATCTGCTAGTATGCAGATCAATGGCAGAAGGGCCTGTTTCCACACTGTTGGGATTCTATAAATAAAATAAATAAATACTATTTCTGAAATTGCCAAATAGTATGAATGGGGAATAGCACAGTAATAGAATTGTATAGCATTAAAGGAATCATTTGGCCCGTTGTGCCTGTGGCTGGTCTTTGAAATAGCTATCCAGTTAGTCCCCCTCCCTTGCTCTTCATTGTCCTGCAAATTTTCCCTCTTGCAGTATTATAATTGCCTCTTTAAAAGTTATCATTGAATTTGCTTTTACCACTATTTCAGGTAGCAAATTTCAGATCATACCATTGTCTAAAAATGTTTTTCTTAGGTCACAAGTGTTACCTGTGACACATTAAAACTTGTATTCTTAGCACATGAACTGTTTATATTTTGTATCCCATATGTCATTGATTCACTACATTTTGAGTTATTAATAATTGATCAACTTTTGATAGTAAATATTTAAAATTTACTAGGATACAGAGTTTCCCGGTGTTGTGGTAAGACCAATTGGAGAATTCCGAAGCACTGTAGATTACCAGTACCAGCTTCTACGGTGTAATGTGGATTTGCTGAAAATCATCCAACTGGGATTGACATTCATGAATGAGAAAAACCAATACCCTCCTGGAACCTCCACTTGGCAATTCAACTTTAAATTCAACCTTACGTAAGTACAGAAAATGCTGTACTGTGTTCTCCTGTGATTTCTTACTGTGTTTGGTTACTCATGCTAGGAAACACTCTAGAATCACAGCCAATGGATGTTGTGCAATAAATTATTTTAATGCTATTACAGCTGAGCCAGTGTTACAAGCATGCACTTGCACTAGGGCTTGCTGACAATGATTGGGAGCAGGATTCCAGTTCTCCTGTCCAGATGTACGAATGGAAGTTGTAGTGCCCTGCATGAGGTTGATTAACCCTTTGCAGATTTACCTCCTACGTAGCCCGTTTTTACTGGATAAACCTGTTAAATCATTGGGGGCACTTCATACGTTTTGAGATAACAAGGTGTAGAGCTGGATGAACACAGCAGGCCAGGCAGCATCGGAGAAGCAGGAACGCTGATGTTTCGGGTCTGGACCCTTCTTCAGAAATGGGAGAGAGGAAGGGGATTCTGAAATAAATAGAGAGAGGGGGGAAGGCGGATGGAAGGTGGATAAAGGAGCAGATAGGTGGAGAGGAAATGGACAGGTCAAGGAGGCAGGGATGGAGCCAGTAAAGGTGATGCAGGTGGGGAGTTAGGATGGGGGTTGGTCAGTCAAGAGAAGACGGACAGGTCAAGGAGGCGGGGATTATCTGCTCCTCAATAGAATGACATTGTTAAGTGAAAAACATGCGTTGAAAATTGTTTATTTTAAAGGGAAGACATGTACTCACAAGACTCAATAGATCTGCTGAGAACTTCTGGGCTGCAGTTCAAAAAACATGAAGAAGAAGGAATTGAAACTTCTTACTTTGCAGAGCTCCTCATGACATCTGGTGTGGTGCTGTGCGATAATGTCAAGTGGCTTTCGTTTCACAGGTTGGTCCCAACAAACAAAATGGAGTTCTTGACATTGATTTAGATTGTGACCCAATTGTGTGTTTTTCACCTCCCCTTGGTTTTACTTTTACTCCACTCCTGAGGACACTGGCTCATGTTGCAACAGTTCAGTAGGAACCAACTGCCATTTGATCCCTTTGATAGCTGGCCATTCTTTGTGTGAGTTTAAAATTGAGCAGACAAATTGATCATCTAAGCTGTTCCAGATGAGCTAGATCTTATGTCAACAGAAGCAAGTATGACAGCAGAAATTATCGGGAATTGACAAGATGACTGTTCTTCTCTGTGCTTGGTCTTATGATCTTGCATAGACCAATCGCTGCTGAATCTTTCTCAGAACAAACTATAAAAATAATTAACGCTTCCATGGACAACATGTGAACTGAGACTTTTGTATTCCATAATCTCTTGAGACACTGCTAATAATTAAACATAATCTCTGTTTCTTTGCTTGAAACAGAATCAGAATATGAAATCCTTAATCAAGGACGGTTAGCATAGACTTGTTAAAAGTAGATCATATCTAATTATAAGCTGATTAAATTTTGAAGCGGTAACAAAGTAAGTTGATAGCCTACAGGGACTTTAGCAAGGCTTTTTAAAACATCTCATGTTGTACACCAGATGAAAAAACAAAAACCCACGGTATCCAAGGGAAACTGGCAGGTTAAATCTAAAGATAGCTCAGTGGCAGGAAGCAAAAGGTCATGCCCGATGGATATTTTTGTGACTGGAATGCTGTTTCCAGTGGGGTTCTTTAGCGCTCAGAGCCAGATAGTTTATTTTTCATGATATAGCAATGATTTAAATATAAATGTAGGAACCGAGATTAACAAGTTTACAGATGATACTGAAATGGGCCATGTGGTTAATAGTGAGGAAGAAGACTCTAGACTCTAGGAAGATGTTACGGACTGGCCAAGTGGCAGGAAATTGCAGCCAGAATTCAGCACAGTAAAGTGTGAAACAGGAGGGAAAATAGGCAAAGGAGTGCACAATAAATGGTTGTATGTTGATTGCGATGTCACAAAACTGAGGGATCCTACAGTGCATATCCACACATGACTGACAGCAGTGAAGTCACCATAATACTCCTGAACGATAGGGCTGTACTAGATGATAGGTGGTGGTTTAATCTGAGGGTCACCCACGTTATTTGAGGGAAGAAGTTGAGAACGAGAATCTTTCATGCTAACCTTAGCTGGTACAGGATTTAAACCCATGATGTTGGCATAACTCTGCGTTGCAAACCAGCCAATTAAGCTAATCAACCTCCAACTGATAGTAGGAAGTACTGAGTTGAGATTGGTTGCTACTTGAAAGAACCTTTGGAGTATTCAGATGTTTTCACAGATTAATGACTTAAGAGCTGTATAAAAATATTCACAGAAACCTCGCTACCCTCTCAGTTAATATGTCAGTTAAATGTTGTATTGGGTGAAAATGTATGGGGAAAACAGGATTTCCTATCAGTAATCTTTATCAATCTTTATGATTTCTGTTTGTCCTTTCATTCTTGTGACACAGTAGATTCCTTTTTTTAAAACTTGCAAGTTTTCATTTGAAGCATCAAACTGCCATTTTAACATACTAGTTTAATTATTAAAATTGTATTAACCCTGAGAAATTTCTATCTGATACAGTGGTTATGACTTTGGCTACTTGATCAAACTTCTAACCCACTCACGACTACCAGAAGAAGAGCAAGAATTCTTTGATATCCTGCATTTGTTCTTCCCTGCTATCTATGATGTGAAATATCTGATGAAAAGCTGTAAAAATCTTAAGGTATTTGTATGAAGTTGAAATCAAATTGCATGTTTTCTGGTTAGGTTGGAAATCACAACTTAACACTTGTAAGAGCAGTAATAATTTAGATAAATGTGCCTATGTCACAAGTGTGCCATTAATTTCAAGTAGGCTCGTATTGTGAATTTGTGTAAATATCTATTTCTATGCCAGTATTTTACAAAAGTGAGGGAAATTGTCGTTGGCTAAAATTGTTGCAATTCCCTCGACAAAATTTCTTTTTGAAGTCTAAAGATTTACTACACGTTGAGTAAAACACGTAGAAACTATGAGCAAGAGTAGGCCATTTGGCCCTTTGAAGTACTCTGCTATTCAATATGATCATGGCTGATCGTTTGTCTCAAGATCATGTTCCCGATTACTCTCAATACTTTGTGTTCAGTTTGCATCAACAGGCTGGCTCAATCCAATGAGTATCCCAGTTTGTCTATAGTCATCTTCCTAATAACATTCTCTTCTGAACTGAAACAGTGCTAGCAAATTTAATAGCTGAAGTAGCTATCTAATATAAATTAATCACTCACATTTAACAGTTAGTTGCCATTTTCCACAGGGTGGTCTACAAGAAGTTGCTGAACAGCTTGAGTTGGAGCGAATTGGACGACAGCACCAGGCAGGCTCAGATTCACTATTGACAGGCATGGCTTTCTTCAGAATGAGGGAGGTACGGAACTGACAAATGTCAAGAAAAAAAATGTTTTAAAATGTTAATAAATATAAAGAGTTCACCTTTGACACAAACTATCATCTTAACAACAGTCAAAATCCACAAACAACAATGCCACAATCAACTAGTAAACCTGTTTTCTTGAGGTATTGGTTAGGAGAAATATTAACTGGAAGTTTCACAGGAACTCAGTTTATCTCCGATCTTGTTGCCAGATCCAATTTTAATATGAAGTTGTTGTATTCAAAACTGTGTAAAATCAAAGGCATAAGTGCAGTATTTAACAAAGTGAATAAAATGGACCACCTCTTTCAAAGTATTCAGGTATGGCCAGGCTACTTTGTAGTCCCAAATCTTGATATGAAAGGACTGTTACAACACTTGTGACTCATCGCAGGCTTTGACTTCCTTTAATTATGGTGGACAGTTATGAGGTCTATTGACACATTATGAAGCGTATTTAGAAAGTGGACACAATGCAAATCTTCCCAGAGCCTCTGAAATAATTACTTTGGGCATTCTCTATAACATGTCTGGAGTGCTGGGTATTCCATTTGTGGTCCAGTATTCACTGAAGGAGAAGACGTAATAAAGAAATGAATGTAATGCCTTGTGACCCTGGCCTTTCCTTTACAGCCATGTGGATTGCAACTTCTTCAGAATTTTGGCTCCACTCTTGGAGACAGGAAATATTAATACTGTGGGCTTGGCCAACAGAAGTTCAGTAGTCGCTGCTGCCCAAATTTTGGTACCATCCCACTGACCCCCTCAGTGCATTAATTGTGATACATGCAGTACACAAACTAGATTAGCTAACGTTACATTCTGGGGCCAGATTAATCAGGTGATCCTGAGAAGAGCCAACCTGATGTTTATTGGTTGTAAATTTATCCTAAATATTTATACTTTTATTTCTCAGTTATTTTTTGAAGACAACATTGATGACACAAAGTACTGTGGACATTTGTATGGTCTTGGATCAGGTTTAACTAACAACCATAATGGGACAGCTGGGACATCAGAAGAAGAAACCAACAACAAACAACACTGACCACAACTGAGACGTTTTACCAAATCTTGATGTTTTTAGACAGACATTTTACTACAAAATGAGTGTTATTCTCCTGATGCAAAGTTTGGAGATATTTGGCAGTGTACTGCCTAGAGGTATTAAACATGGCTGCTTTCTTCTTAAAAAAAAAACATTTCTGCCATTTAACATTTGTAAATGCTGTGCCGTTGCTTATTGTTTTCCAAATCAGTAAGTGACATGGAAGGGAAGCCAGGCTAGGGTTAATCTGCGTTGGTCCAGTAGGACCTTTTGGATTGTACCCTGATCTATGTTTATTTCTCTTTAAATTTATTATTCACTCTACTTTTCTCCCCTTTTATATTTTCCTTTTGTTCCCTTGTTTGTTTTTCTTGATCAGGTGATTTGCAGTGACAATTACATCACATTGTTTTGCTTGTTCTGTGGAAATAATAAGCCGTAGCGCCGTGGATTTGTGCATTGTGATAACCTTGAGGTTTTTTTTAATGTGATTACATATCCATGCCTGAAAAACATTCTTCCCGAAGGACGGCTGTGGCTGTAAAATTATTTCAGGAATAGACCTTTTAAGTTCATGTTTATTGTGCGGTACAGTGTTCAAAAGGTATTTTAATGCCTTGTAGGATGGAAAGTGTTCAAAAGGTATTTTAATGCCTTGTAGGATGGAATTTTCACTATTAGAACGGCAGGGAAAAAACTTCCAGTTCCACTAATACCCAATAAATTATAAATTATTATTATCCTAATTCAATTGACTTAAACAGCTAAATGCAGGAATTTCAACTGGGTTATTGAACTTGTTTTATGGCAGTACAGTTCTGTTATTAATTTTCAACATAAATAAGTTCATTTAAAACATTGTTCTTGTTTATGCTTTTATCAAATACTTGTTATTAATGTTGTAATTAATCCTGTTTAAAGGAAGGAATAGAATTAAGATTTTTTTACTTCAATATTTTTAAACAAAATTGTTAATTATATCTCTTGATCTTCTTTTCATCATCTGAGTACCCAGTAGAAATATCCAATTGTTAAAAGTAAATGTAATTTTGCAATAGTTCTTTCTATTCACTGTGTATGTACCATAGACCTGAAATGTGATACCTAATAGCAGGTTATGTATCATCTTCCATTGTGAACCGAATTGGATGTCTGAGCCACGTGCTTTTGTTGTGATATGATTAATGACTGCATTACTGATACCACAGGGATCATAGGTTGATCCAAGTCTCATTGGTTAAATATTACAGTTTTGCTTCAAGTTAAGTCGAATGCAAAAAGCCACTTGATTACGGACTTGAACAAAACCTTAATGTTAGTTTCTCTTCTACAGTCAAGAATAACTCAAATCTCTTCATGTTGCTAGAGAGGGGTCTCCGTTGATGGAAGTAGTTTTACATGTAAAATGTTTAATTTACTTCATACTTTGTTCTTAATTGACTCCAACGTACAAAACTGGATCTTAACTTAAAACAGTGGTGCAAGACCTAGCTATTGACGTTTCACAGGAGATAAGGGCCTTTTCATTTAAAAGCACTTCCTTCTACAGAAATCTCCTGTTAAAAATTAACTCATTGTATTTAATATTTTGGTTGTGTTGCAAGCAGTCTGAATCTTATAAAAACTGAACCAATGTAATTTAAATAAGTTTGTAAATTAAAAGTTTGTTTCATACAGGAAGTGGATGTATAATCCTTTTGTCTTTGACAGCCAAGCTTAACGACAAAGAATAATAACATACAGTGTTGGTATACATCCATACATCTTCATTATGCAAATAATAATTGTGCACAAAGTTTGAAGTTGCAGAATGAAAGTTTTTGTTTGTAATGTGCCATGGGCGACTTTCTGTTAAAAGTTTTGATTCAAATGCAAGTTGATGATTGATACATTTATTTAACTCTAACTCTGCATTTGTCTCTTACTTCCCTTTTGATTGTGTTTCTTTTATCAGCCATTTCACTTCTATTCTATGTTGTCACCTGAAAATTTACCACTGTGTTCTCATCAAAGTCATTAATGAGAATGTTGAATAACTTAATTTGTATCAATCATACTACAAATTCTAAATTGCTTCATGATATACTCTAAAACCTTAGATACTCTAACAGCATAATTGTTCAATTGATGCAGTATTCAGCTAGACCAGTGATGAAGGAAACTGATTTAATCCTGTCCGTTTTGTGTATGTTAAAGTGATTATTCGTATCTTCTTGCTGCAATTGGAGATGTTGTAAATTAATGTACATTGAACAATGTGATGAACTAGGTCCATGTTGTATAATTGTTTACCTCAACTTTGAAAGATGTAATAAGTTGAACATTTCTTTGACTTCTTAACCAAGTGTGACCTAACAGAAGGCTGTAATGTTGAAGCGAAATCACTGGATTATAGTGTCATTATGGCTAAGTGGCAGTCCTCTTGTTTCTGATTCAAAGATTGTGGATGCAATCAAATTTGGACTTGAGCAAAAATATAGAGGCTGGTTGTTGTACTGGATTATTGTGTTGTGAGACCCTGTTGCTTGACATATTGAACTCAAATCCATTAATTTTACGGGACTCGAGATTCCATGGAACTTTCAGAAATGATCAGGTAATTTTGCTGTTTTGACCAGTATGCATAGTTTGTGATTACTACCATAACAGATAAAATCTCTCTTTTTAATGTTTGTGGAACGATGCTGTGCACAAATTATCTGCTGTATTCCCCGACAAATCACTGGCGTTTCTGAAGCATTTTTGGGACGTTGAGGTTGTATTTAGTGCTTTGTCAATGTAAGAATGTTTCTTCATTTTGCATAGAATATAAAGAGTAAGAAAAGTTCAAGGATGTGAAGTATCCTGTGGCTGCTTGATATATGGGTTAGAATTAGCAGTGACAGAATTGCTGCAATCGTAAACCCATGGCTTAACATATTATTCAGTCCACCATTACTATGAAGCCAGGGGATTGAATCATGGTTTAATGAGGATTGCAAAAGAACATGCAAGAAGCAGCAGCACACTTGGAAATGAGGCGTCACTGCGGTGAAGCTACAATACAAGACTATGTGCATGCCAAACAGTGGAGGCAGCATGCAACAGACAGAACTAAATGATCATACAATAAAAGTATAATCGAATCAATGCAGTCATACCACGCCATTTGTGAAGTGGGGACAGTAAATAAAACAAAATCGCACTGGAGGAGGCTGCTCAACAAATAGCCCCATTTTCAATAATGTGGTTATCATTGACAAGGAACTGAACTGGATAAACCATTTACGTACATACTGGAGGCATCAAGGCAAGTCAGCAGTTAGGAATTGTGAGGTGAGTAACTCCTCTCCTGACTCCCCAAAGCCATCATCTGCAAGGCCAAAGTAAGGAGTGGAATGGAATACATCCCATTCACCTGGATGAATGCAGCTCCAACAATATTCAGGAAAAAGTAACAGCTCAATCGGTATCATGTCTATGACCTTAAACATTTACTCCCTCCATGTCAAGGCATAGTGGTAGCAACGTATACTAGCATCAAGATTGTTACTGGCACAAAACTCTGAAACTCCCTCTCAACTGTACTTGGGTGTTCCTACAGCAGTGGTTCTGAAGCTTTTCCAACCATAGACTAGTTAAGTGTGAATAATTAGGTACTGATCCTACCAACTCATGTTCACTGGCGACTGTAAAAAGCACATTAGAATTAATGGGAAGAATGTCCCTGCTTTTAATGAGACACCATTCAAGTGATGTCTGATTCCAAGCTGGAATACCTTTATCAAAAACAGAAATTGTTGGAAAAGCTCAGCAGGTCTGGCAGCATCTGTGAAGAAAAAATAAGAGTTATTGTTTTGGGTCCACTGAGCCTTCCTTAGAACTGGTGTAAGTTTATTACACCAGTTGTTTGATGAGTTCTTCTGATTCTCTTTCTCGTTCCTCCCTCCTGCTGTGAAACACCCTTCAGTAGTTATTACAGTGGTCCTATTCAAGAGCGAATTATATACAGATACTTAGATATTTGGAATATACTTTTCATATCCTTTAATATTTGGGATATCTTCATTCTGGCTTCATGTTCACACAACTCTTCCTTATCTTCAGTTTTGAAAATCCATTCCTGCACATGTATGTTATTACAGTAACAAATCTTTATGAACTACATTGCTGTTGTTCCCACTTACGATCACTTGTGTTATGCTGGTGTAGCTGGTCTTCTTTTGTGAGTGGTGAGAATGAGGGTTTCTAATATAATCCCAGTTCTGGTCTTGCACATCAATGACTTGCATTTTGGACTAGCATGGTCATCAGATCACACTTTGAGAACCACTGACTTACACCACATGGACTACAATGGTTCAAGAAGCCAACTTAACACCGCTTTTGCAAAGGCATTTTAGGACCAGCAATGAATTCTCAGTCTTGCCAGTGCTCACATCTCATTAATGAATGAATGAAAAAAACATAAATGTTGAGGGTGGGGTGATCTTCACTGCCACTAATAACGTACAAAAGATTGATTGTTTCTGCAGATCTCAGACCAATTGTACACTTTAGTAACTAATCTCATTGTACCTTCCATGTATTGTTTTTTTTTTGCTATGTCTAGGTAGCTGAATCTGTTGCAAGTCCCCTATCCGTTATTTGGTGTGTGGTGAGCATGTTTATTACCCCATTTGTATGGTGGGTTATTCTATTCTCTTCTCTCTCTCCCAAGGTGACAAAACCTTCAGTAGTCGTCATGATAATGCTATTCTGGAGCAAATGATGCACAACTATTTTTAAATTTGGAATATTCTTTCCAATGAACTTAATCCAATTTTCATTTGGAGTAAAATATCAATTTCTTCGTATGATTGCTGTAATTGCTGCTATCTCTTTATTGTTAATAATTGTTTATCGTACAACCTTAAGGAACAATGGGTTTTATAATCTCTTTTAATGAATATACAAAATGAATGAATGAATGAATGCGTCTTCAAACAGCATCATTAAATGTCTATCGGTCATTTGCTAGTACTTTTTATTCTTGTACCACCTTTTGGCTAGAATTTATACAGATAGGAAAACAGGTTAATAGTCAGCAATTTGATGCAGAATTGTATTAATTTAACTTATAAATCCAGTGATCAATGGTCTTGGCACTTTGCAATTTGCATATTTTAGTTCATATAAGAAATATTTTGGGAAATACTAGATTTTGAAGTCTTGTACTTCAGGGAAAAGACATTACACTTAAACTAGGACTTATCGGGTTTTGCCATCAGATGATGCTGTAAATGGTGAAATTACATTTGATAATATATTCTAAAAATTGATAAACATATTGAGAGCTGAAGTAGATCATTTGGTCCCTTGACTCTGTTCTGCTCTTCAATACGTGATTTGTGTTTCTAATTCCACATTCCTATCTATCCTTAACCTTAGGTTCTTGTTCGGCAAGGAAGTCAATCTACCTTTGTCTTAAAAATATTCAACAACCCTACCTTCACCTCCCAAGTCTGCCAAAGTCACAGAACATTCAGAAAAACATTATTTTCATCTCTGCCTGAAAGGGTAATTTGTAATTTTAAAGCAATGCCTCCTAATTCTGGACTACCTACAAGAGAAAGTATCCTTACCATGTCAAGACCATTCAGAGTCTTATACACTTGAATCAAGTTGCTCCTGTCTTTTGAATTCCAGTGGAAAGAAGCCCAGCCTTTCCAACTCATCCTCATAATTCCTGGTTTCATTCAAGAAGAAATAAGGAATTAAACTAAAGCCTACTAACGGTAGTTAATTTACATTGCTTAAACTTTAAAATTCAAATGTTGACCAGAAGACATGGGAGCAGATGTGGGCCATTCAGTTCATTGATTCTGCTTCACCATTCAGTGAGGTCATAGTTTTTCTGATGATCTTCAACTCTGCTTTCCTGCCTCCCCCGCGCCCTACCCCTCAATTGTCTTACTGATTAAAAATCTGTTGATCTCAACATTGAACATACTTCATGATGCAGTTTCTATAGGCCTCTGCTGAAAAGAATTCCTAGGATTTGTTACCCTCAGAAGAAATTCCTCATTTCCTTCCTCTGGGATTATACCCTCAAATTTCAGACTCCCACAAGAGGAAATAACTTCTCCACATCCAGTTTGTCAATCCCATTACGCCCAACCTAATTAACCTCTCCTAAAAAAAACCCCTCCATACCGAGGATCAACTTAGTGAACCTTTTCCTAGACTACTCCAATGTCAGTATATCTTGTATGAGGGGATCAAAACTGTTTGCAGTATTCTAGGTGTGGTCTAAGGCGTTGTATCATTTAACTTACAATAGCATGATAAGTAGGATATAAGAGCAAGAGTCGGTCATTTGAGCCTTCTCTACCATTTGGAAATTTTGACTGATCCTCACCCTCAACTCCTTGTCATCTGATATCCCTTGATTTTCTTACAGACAAAAAAACCTATTGATTTCAGCACTGAATGTACATCTGGATCCCACTGGGATAGAAGATTGCAAAGATTCAGAACACCCTGAATGAAGAAAGTTCTCATATCAACCTGAAACAATATGTCTTAAGGAAAGTATATATATCTGTAGTTGTGGTGCACTACACTGAACAAAATTTCACTCCAGATGTGCTCTCACTAAATACCTGGAAGGTCGCAGCAGGATTTGATCTTTGAAACTTTCTCTGAAACTCTGA